ATTTCCATCTATGAAATCCTTTCACTTGTGATCTTGGAAATATCGTTTCTCAAACCTAAGAATTTGATAGTCAAGTTCTACTTTACATCTCTTATTCTTAGGCTCCCATGCTGGAAGACAGTCACACTCTTTTTTTCTTGAGTGATGATCTTCATTTTAACAATTTGTTGGCATTGATGGACCAGAAGAATCTCAGAGAGTTAATCATAAGTGTATGATAATGATCTAGCTTCTAATGGAAAATTTGAAGAACTTATTATACATTTACTAAATAGTTTGAGGTCTTTGATTTCTGCTGTCATTACTGCTAAAACTCAGGATCCCAATAGTTGAACAATATGTTTTTTAGTTGATTTTTTTTTAGCACTTTGGTCTGAAATACAATATTTGTTACTAACATTTATTGAGTACTTACTGTGTGCTGGGCATTGTTTTAAGTGCCTTATATACATACTTCATTTAAACCTTACAGTAACTTTAAATGCTAGTTTTATCTCTGTTTTAGGTACTATTGTCATTGGGACAAATCCATATACATAGGGGGTCTGCAGCAACCTCAATTCTTGCCTCCTCAGAAGAAAGAATTTGATGGAGGAGGTATAAGGCAGAAGAAGACAGGCAAGTTTTAGAGTAGGAGTGGAAGTTTATTAGAAAGCTTTAGAACAGGAATGAAAGAAAGTAAAGTACACTTGGAAGAGGGCCAAGCGAGTGACTTGAGAGATCAAATGCATGACTTGGGGTTTTGTATGTTGGCATGCTTCTGGGGTCTTGCTTTACTTCTTTGATTCTTCCCTTGGGGTGGGCTATGCACAGTGGCTGGTCAGCACTTGAGAGGGACTGCATATGCAGTGTGTTTACTGGAATTGCATGCATGCTCACTTCAGGCATTCTTCCCTTATCAGTCTAGCATTCCCAGAGGAAAGTAATATATCCTACCATTTTGCCTCTTACCAAAATGGTAGTTAAACCCTACCATTTTGCCTCTTAGTGCACAGGCTTGAGCCCACTCGCCCAACTCCTAAGATCTTATTGGGAAGCTGCTGATCACCAGTTTCAGGTGTTTTCTATCTATTAGGAGACAGCCTTCTCTGGTGCCAGCTGTGACCAATTACTATTTTAGAGAGACAGCTGACAACCACCTGACCATCACCTGATGGTAGCCTGACACTTCTGTTATGTGTTTGGAGAATGGGGGAGCCTACTCCTGTCCTGCTCATGCCTGACTAGCTACCTACTGCAACAGTATTTTTGTCTCCATTTTACCAATTAGAAAAATGTACTATAAGGTCACATGGCCAAAAAAGTGATAAGGCTGAATCCTGGTTTAGCTGACTCCAGAGCTTGTGTCAATGTTTCATCTCTAAAATATACTTGCTTCAGTTCTCTGTGATAACTTCTCTCTCAGATGCTGTAGAAGTGTTTTCTCCTTTTCCTCTTTTCCCCTGTGCCTCACCCCAGATTTTTGCACCTCAAGTGTTTGATACCCCAGGAGATATACTTCTGATCAAGGGAGGAAAGTCATTCCAGAATATCAAGTTGAAGGTTAGTCAGTTGTTGTAAAGAGAAAATTCTAATGTTACTCTGGAATTCAGTAACATTTATACACACCCACACACATTCACATTATCTTCAAAAGGAGAACTTCTAAGTGTTAATTTCATATTATTCACTTAGTCTGGTGAATATAGCCTTTAAAAAACTCCCAATCTCTCTCTCATTCCATTTTGTGGTTTCTACAGCTGATTGATCACTTCGGAAATTACTTCCCAAAGCTACATTAAGGAGCCCACCTCAAACATTACCATCTAGTGGAATTGTCAGAGACAAAAACTTCTGGCAAGTAGCTAAGTGTATTCATGGAAATATTATGTTTTCAAAAACAAACAAATACAAGCAGTGAAACCTTGCTTCCTGGGTCAAGGATTTGAGTTTTTTTGTGTGTGTTTTTGTGGGTGTGGGTCAAAGGCTTTCTATTTTAATAGTTCATCTTAGAAAGATTAAAAATACTTTCTCTGGATGCTGACAGAGAAGGAAAACTCACAGAGGCCCTTTACCCTCAACTCTGGCCCAACAGCAGCAGTGGGGCGGGGCTGGGGGTAGGGATGGGTTGGCGGGGTTGAAGAGGAGGGGGGTGCGGTTAGAGCTTGCTGTAGCAATGACTTGATTACATAATGCCTCCCATCTGTCCACAGATGTGTGAGTTTGCTCAAATGTTTTATTAGAAGTTTATTACATTTTCTTATAATCCCAGCCCATCTGCATTTGCTAGCCTATTTGCAATTTCTAAAATACTTAATCCATTTGCTATTCAGTAAACGAAGATATGAATTGAGACATGTTCTGTAAGTCCCTGGTGTCATTTAGGTGATAACACATGTTCCATGGATATAATAAATAAGATTGATAAAGTAGGCCTTGCAAGCCTCTTGATGATAATGATGATGATGTTGATGCTGGTGATATCTCTCTGGATCAGTTCACTGCCAAAGGCTCTAAATGAGAGTCAGTATTCTGTGCTGGTAACATTAATCCTACTTCAATCCACCCATAATTTGATCTACAAGGAGAGAAAACAGAAGGATAACAACAAGAGCAAAACAAAACAAAAACAATTCACATAGACTGTATGTAAATTTTTTAACTATAGATTTAAATATCTATATCTAACTATATGTAACCCCATCAATTTTTTTGCCCTTGAGAGAATTGGATCTAAGAGTTTTATCATTCTGCCACCAATAACAGCACCTTTTCAATCTGAGTGGTTGCTATCACTTATAGTTTGGCATGCCCAGTAGTAGAAAGTGGGACTCTTTATTTCTATCCATTGGAAAAACACTGTGTCTATCTTGCTGATACCCCAGCTCCCAGCATGGTGCTGAGCATGTGGTAGGTCCTCAATAAATATGTCCTGAATAGATGACAGAACAGATATAGATTTGTATTGGGTGTGTCTTTTCCAGCTGGTTCATAGTTACTGAATGATTGCTGACTAAATAGATTGTTAGTTTAATGTCGACTTTATATTTCGCGGTAGAATTTTCATTTGTCAGAACCACTATTTGTCATGAGAAATTCAATCTTGGAACTCCTCTGAGATTCTGAGAAAACTTTCTATTGCATATTAGCGATTCCATGCTGGATAATAGTGGCTTTCATAGGCTGAATTATTCATGTAGTTGTGTACTAAAGCTTAGTAATTTTCATCTTTTGATTTAGGAGTAGGATCTCTAAGAGACCAATTTTATTCCTTAAACTGAGAAAGGTTTGGGGTTTTTAATATCTAATTTTGGCAGCCCTCTGTCAATGAATAGAGTTTCTTTTCTTTCCCAGTCTCATAAGCAACTGTTCCATTCACATGCCATTTGTGCATATAATACATTTTCAAGTTGTTTATTCCAGTACAAAATGTGTTTCACATATATTGAAAGGTCAAAAAATAATGTCCTCTCTTTTATATTTTAGCATGTGCAGAATTTATTGTGGTGTTATTATGTGATTTCATTTCATTTTTATTTAAAAGGAAAACAACAACATTGAAGACATCCTGAAATAGCATTCATTTGGCAGGTAGGTCTCTGGCTTTCTGGTTCTGATTCCATGCTTAGCTGTGCCAAATCCAGTCAGAAGAGGAGAAATGGTTTACAGGTGTCATGGAATTCCATGGTTTCACTTGCAATGGGTAACCTTAGGAAGGAGAATTTCCATATATCACGCCAATGTTGATTTGTCCAAAGAAAGCATCCCCAAGTCTCAGACTGAAAATAAGGTATTTGGTTGTATGAGAGGATGAGCCCAGCAGTTGGTAACCCAGCAGGAGATTCTTCCCTGAGAAATTGTGATTATTTTCACATGTAAGAAAAGGGACAAATGAATATCATTTTCAAACCTCTGTCTGACTAAACACACCAACCAGAAATGCATCTACCTACATCATTTTAAAAGAAATTCAGTGGGGCTTTGACAGCATTGACCTTCTTTCACTGGATGTTTCTCACACTTACTTGCTCTCTGTTTTCATGTTTATAAAATGTGTTCCCAAGCCCTTTAAGATAAAATCAACAATAGTGCCTAGGGCTCCAGAGAAAGATTCCCAGTGGGAGGGTCTGGGCCTTTTGTTCCAGAGAATCTAATAGAGTGTGAAACTGACACAGACATGGGAAGATCATTCAGCTAAAATTAAAGTCTTTGTTCCTTCATTAGTTGAACTTGAACTTCACATTTCTGAAGTTCTGCTAGGTTACTTTCTCTAAAGTTCTGATTTAATCAAGGTGAACAGGGAAGCTCATTAAAATCTATTTTCCCTCTCTCTTTCACTTTTAAAAAGAGATTGCAAAAATCCCATTTTTTTTTTTTTTTTTTTGGTATAGTGAATGTTCTTGATTCTTTTCTCGATGTAAATTTTGGGAAGTTAACCTGAATCTCACATATATATTTTTCATAATCATTAAAAAGGGTTTTTTCTTTTTAAAGTCTGATGGAGACTTTATCAGTTGATTGACTTCCTCAGTCCCATTGGGAAAGGTGAAGGGTCAACAGCCAGGCCTTTAGGTGATTAATGAGCTAATGTGATTACATAAAATGTATTTTTATCACCTTTAGTTTGGGGGAACTATTGAAAATGAGAGTAAACCTTAGACTGTAAATCTTTATCATTGATCTAACTTTCTTTTTTTTTCTTCTTCTAATTACATTTATTTTAATGCTGAATTTACTCCTGTGCCATAAATTTTTGTTTCTTCAGTTTCTTCTGGGATATCTTTTTCTTCTGGGCAACCTCCTCTTCTGGTTTAGGAACAATCTGTTCCTTTTCAGTAAGAATCATCTCAATGTGGCAGGGAGAGCTCTTCTATGGGTTAACCCGACCATGAGCTCTGTAGATCCGTCGGCGCATCTTAGGTGCTTTGTTCACTTGGATATGCTCAATGACCAGAGAATCTACATCTAAACCCTTAAGTTCAGCATTACTCTCTGCATTTTTAAGCATGTGCAGCAAAAATTCAGCACTCCTTTTGGGCCACGGACCTTGTGTCCAGCCCCACTGCTTGGCCTGGGCACACCTGCCAACTCCACCATTGTAATGTCAGAATGGTACACACTGTTTCTGTAAAGTGACATCTTTCAGATACTTCGTGTTCATCCCCCACATTGGTGGCATCTTTCCCGTATTTCTTCCTGATGACATTCTTCAGGTTGTGGTAAACCTCGGCTCCAATGCACATGGCTTCCCTGAAGTTTGCTGCACCAACTGGGAGGATCATGAACTCCTGCATGGCCAGCTTGTTGCCGGCATGAGAACCGCCATTGATGACATTGAAAGCCGGGATTGGCAGGATGACTTCAGAGTTGCCAGCCAAGTCAGCGATGTGGCAGTACAGGGGAACCCCCTTCTCAACGGCACTGGCTTTGCAGACGGCGAGGGACACCCCCAGAATGGCGTTTGCACCAAACTTGGATTTATTTTCTGTTCCATCCATCTCGATCAGCAGTTTGTCAATCTTCTCTTGTTCTGTGACGTTCAGTTTCTTGCTAACCAGGGCAGGTGCAATAGTTTTAACCATGTGCTCAACAGCCTTTGAGATACCCTTCCCCATGTAGCGAGTCTTATCATTGTCCCGGAGCTCTAGGGCCTCATAGATACCAGTTGAAGCATCACTGGGCACAGCAGCTCTGAAGAGACTTTTTGAGGTGAAGAGATCAACCTGAACAGTGGGATTCCCAGGAGAGTCAAAGATCTCCCTGGCACGGACCTTGAGAATAGACATGGTGAATTTCTAGCCGCTGGGTCTCGTGGCCTAGGAGAGGAAGCGGAGGGTGCAGCAGACACCGAGGTAAGAGTGAAGCCAGCGAGATCTGTATGCTCCGGGTCCCTACAGCTACATTGATCTAACTTTCATGTCATAGTTACTATATCTTTTTTTTAAAATATGAGCTAATATCTCACTTTCTTTACTTAGCAGGAAAAAGGTGAGAAAAATAAAATAGAGCAAAACCTTGGGATTGAGGGTATGCAGATAAGTGGCTCTAATATTTCTTTGATCTTGATAATACAGTTAATTCTTTTATATTCCTAATTGGCAGTAGGAACTTATTGCCACAAGCCTGTGAAACTTTGTTGGATTCTGATACAATTCTAACTAGCACATTGATTTGTTTCTTCTTTTTAAGAATGTAAACATTTCCCCTTTCTCCTTCCCTTAGTGTTGCAGTCATAAAAGTATGTGATCTCAAGTCCTTCTCTTTGATCTTTCTAAATGAAGAATGGCATGGAAAATTAAAAAGTAGCCCAATAAACTGAAAATAATTTTTTCATATTTCTTGAGGTTTTATTATATTCTTATTGTATCCTTTGTATGATACAGAACTAACTATATTACTTAACTCTGGATGTGCAACTCTAGCTACTGACCACAGAAGGTCATAAAGCTTCAATAAGACCCTTATTTGATCAGAGCAGATGTTTAGGGTAATGACAGTGAATAGGGGAAATGAATAATGAATATGCCTTTGGGTAAATTAGCATCAAATTCAGGTTTTATAATTTAAGTTTATATATATAAATGCTGACTTATCCCAAACCAAAAACAAACAATACAAAACAAAAACTTGCAGAAAATGCTTGGAGGATACCTCGTATGTGCAGAGCCCGTGGAAGAGTAATGGAATGAAAAGATGAATGGAGCATCAAGTCTGATCTTAAACAGCTAATTTTTAGTGGGGAAGAGACACTGGCTTATAAACAGCCATAGCTTGATGCACATGATTCAGTTTTCCTTTCTTAGAATTCTTTTCTGATTCTACACAGACGGTCACAAATTCAGATGCCTACAAGGAGCAGGCAGGTAAATACAATTAGTGAAGACAATGAGAAAGGTGGCTAATTGAAGGACACGTGGTCATTCTAAAGGTAGCCACTGCTTTTCAGCTCCAGTTATTGCTGAGTGGCAACATGAGCCCAGTGTTGCCATTTCTTTTAATTAATTTTCCAAGAGAAGTTGAATTTGATTTTTTGGGGTGAAATCTCCCAATTTTTAAATATTGGCAGATAACATCATTTTAAAAAACACTGTACAGGCCAAATAAAACTCTGGGAAAAATAGGCTACCATTTGTGAGTACTGCATTTCCCCCACCTTCTGGTTGGCCTTATCCATTCTCATGGGCTTTATACCTATAACTTGCAAATTACGTATCTCACAGTCACCATGGATGGTAGCTGATTTTTCCTTTAAGATCAGATTTTATGCTCTATTCATATTTTCATTCCCACAGTACTTTGTCATGGGCTCTGCATTTATTAGGTATCCTCTTAAACATTTTCTGGAGGTTTTTATTTTGCTTTGTTTTTGTTTTGGGATAAGTCAGTGTTTGTACATAAAAACTTTATAAAATCTGAATTTGATGCTAATTTATCCAAAGCTTTTGGAAATATCTCTCGCTCTCTGTGCTGTTATAACTTCCTGCTCTTAGGAAGTGTTGGTTCAAGTGACAAATATGTGGAGCTGATCTGCAAGAAGTGTATGCAGGATATAGACAGCATGGACTGGAGACGTGTGTGCATTTGCAGTTCAAGGGTAGAGCACTGACCTCAACCCCAGCTTTAGCTCACAGGACTTGACCTGCTGCTCCACGTACTGAGGAAAGGTTGGTATTTTCTCTCTCTGTTTTTGTCCTCTCTCTGTCTTTTTTTTTTTATCTTTTCAAGAGCCAGTCACAGAAGAGTCATTTTTGCCCTGGGCTGGCAATTCTTTAAGTGCCTTTGACCAAGGCATGTGTATTTTCATGTTTAGAACATATGTATTTCCCTCAATTTTTTCCTACATGCTGCATTTTCTTGACTCCTCAAATTCCTCAGAATTTATAGTCAGTAACTTTTAAGTCTTCATCCTTCACTATTTGTTTGAGTTCTAGGCCTGCTGCACAATCTGTAATTGAACATGTTCAAAATGGGATTTAAAAAATTTCTCTCTCCGTGATGCTCCTTTGGCATTCTCTCCTCAGTGAGTTTTATCACCATCTCCATTTGTGCAATCAAGAAATACTAATCGCAGATTGCTTTCTCACTTTTATACCTAATCAGTCAATAGCTCCTGATGATTCTACTTTCAAACCTCACCTCTGTCCTCTATACCCTGTGCCACTCCCTGAATTCAGACTTCCATCATTTCTTGCCTGTACTGTTGCCAGCTTGCACCAGTCATTTCTCCAAGCAAGCTGTTCTATTCTCTGCCACCAGGACTTCTAAAATGCGATTTTTCACAATGTTTTTTCTTTGCTTAAAAACTTTTAGTGGCAGATCCTTACAGTTTTAAAAAACAAATTCCCTGGCATGGACTACATCTTGACCTCAGCCTTCTTCAGTTTTATCTTCCATACCTTAACTATGTATCTTGCTACATGTACAATTTCTTTTCCGTAAACAAACCAGGCAGTTTTACTTTTCCATGTTAACCTTTTGGTGAGAGATCAACTTATTTAAGAATCTGATAAAAACTATAAACTCCACTTCCCCAGAGGAAAAACACTTGAGAAGACATGTTAAATCTCACATATAATTTAAAATAATTTAAGATCTCTTTAAAGTCCATCTGTGGGCCCCAGATTAAAAGACCTTATACAGAAGATGAGTCCTTCAAGGGCAGAAAGGACCACATTGTTTCCATCTTTTTAGTATGCCTAGTAAGGATTGTTAACAGTTATCACAATAATACTGCTTAACAAACCAGCCCAAAACTTAACTGCTTAAAATTGTAACCATTCATTTAGCTCAAAATTCTATGAGCTGCTAATCTGGTCTGGGCTCAGTTGGGTGGCTCTTCTGCCCTTGGCTGGACCTCTACATGCACCTGCTGTTAGCCACATGCAGATTAGGCAACTCTGTTCAGGACATTTTTTGGGGAGAGGGGTGGGGTGGGACGGGATTTCACTCTTCTTGCCCAGGCTGGAGTGCAATGGTACGATCTCAGCTCACTGCAACTTCCACCTCCTGGGTTCAAGCGATTCTCCTGCCTCAGCCTCCCAAGTAGCTGGGACTACAGGCATGTACCACCACACCTAGCTAATTTTTGTATTTTTAGTAGAGATGGGGTTACTCCATGTTGGCCAGGCTGGTCTTGAACTCCTGACCTCAAGTGATCCACCTGCTTGGCCTCCCAAAGTGCTGGGATTACAGGCATGAGCCACCGTGCCCCGCCTGGGACATTCATTAGTAATCATCTAGAACACCTCAGCTCTCTTGCATGTAGTCTCATACCCATCCTGGACTTATTCTGTGGGTTAGTGAGTTTTCAAGGACATATGGTGGAAGTAGACCTAGACTGGAACTGACACATTATCACCTCTGCCATGTTTTATTGGCCAAAAAAAAGTGCTAAAGTTAGTCCATATTCAAGAGATGGGAAAATATACTTCACTTTCTAATAAGAGGAACTACAAAGCCACATTGCAAAGAGCATGTCGATATAGAAAACAGGGCCATTTTTGCAATCAATCTGCCATAGAAGCATGTAGTATACTCAAATAGTTGTTGAATACAAGTTTTTGGAAGTGAACCCCAAATTACAGAGAAAACTCAGATAAAATGAAAGAAGAAAGGAAAGACATTCTAAATAATGGGAATGATGTAGCTATTTTGTGATAAAAAATTTTTTCCTTCTGCAGTGGTTTTACAGGAAGGGAGGGATCAAATGACAAAAAGATTAATACAGTGTTTATGTATGTGATTGTTTGTTTACTTAAATGTGTCCCATCACATTCCAAAACAGATTCAAGAAAACTTAGTGATGAAAGCATAAGTACTTTAAATATTCTAAGAGAAAATCTATGTGTACAGCGTTACTTCACTATCAAAATGTTATTCTTGACTGTAGATACATACTTAGAATTATCTCCTGGATGGCACTTAAGGACAGTAGAGCTACATAATATTCCTATGAATAAAATGAATTGATCTCATTACTCTAAGGAAGAACTATACCTACATAATTTCAATGGATGAGAATTACTCTTGTGGCTTCTTGCTTCTACTATAAAGAAAAGCCTTTCTCATATATAACCTTGGTCTTCCATATTGCAGATTTAGACCATTTGCTTTTTAAACCAAAGTTTATAGATTTCTCCCTAACTGGTTTCCAAGACATTTTATATCCATATTAATAAACATTTTTATGTATGAACAAAATTAATTTGTGAGTTATATGCATATGCTATGTACCAATATATTATGCACTTTATAATACATTTGTAAGATAGAAAATAACATAGGCTTAAAATAGATGAAAGAAAGAATACTCTAAAAATTATTTTACTTATTTTTGCTTATGATACCTAGCTCTTTTTGCTCTCATTTGTGAGAGTTGTATGATTTAATATGCTTCAATATGTTTTTAAAATCCTAGTTTAAAACTTGATTTTAACGAATTCACAATCTGACAATTTTTGAATTTTGATTGCCGTATCTTAAAAAGATCCCTTGGAAGTATTTTTAGATCTGAATGGAATCTACAAATGGAAGGAATGAAGGAGTGGAAGGAACCCATCATTGACTAGGCTTACTAAATCATGATGGTCATTTCTCTAGTCTATATTTCAATTATGCAGAAACTTTTGTTGAAATTTGGAGAAAATTTTTTATCTTCTCTGATGTTAACCACTTGTTCTTACAAATAGTTGGGAGTTGCTTGTTACTGGTTTACCAACTGAATTCAAAACCATTAAAACTCTTTGATAAATTATTAAATAGCTTAAATGTTCCATTTCTAAGTGTAAGTGTTCAGTTAGGAAAATTTTTATAGGGCTGCATTTGTATAATTATCAGCAACAACACACATAGTGATGGAAACACTTTAAATATGTTTTCAAAATGTTCTCAGCATAGC